GTCAGTAGTGCAGGACAGAAGACCAGGCGAGGGACAACGTATAGTCCTTCGGATGGTACGAAAAGCCGATATCCCATGTACACATTGACGTGCACGTTAAGGTTCCCTTTCCAGTTGGAATTCGATATAAGAGTGTGCCGTAGTGCACTGGCGTATGCCAGTCTTCATTATCCCAGTCGGAACAGAACAGTAGGACGTTAAACCCCATTTCTTTTCATCTATAGCCATCTAATAAAAGCCGATAAGAATAGTCTACCTACTTAGAATATGAAAACAGGGACATAGTTAAAGTCAAATCTTACGAAATAATCGCTGGTCTTATTGGAAAAATGCCATTTTAGTACTAAGTTCTTTTGAGCAAATCTGAATAAGCTAATAGAACAATAGAACAAGCACACCTTGACGTTGGCAAATACGTAAGACAGCATGAACATAACATGATTCAACTGCAGGTTGTGATATGATAAATAGTCATGGACACTTGACTTGCTTTGGGGATATGTTGACAGATGAAGAACTTATCGCCCCAATAGAACCACTGAGCTGCACACGCGACTGATACACGCAATAGCGCCATACACGCGGGAGGGGTTTATTGTCAAATTTAATACTTCAAGGAAGGGTTGATGAAAACTGCCGTGTGCTAGTTTATCCTATCCATGTTTGCTTTCCTATCGGTTCTTGCATAAGATTTACTGTGTAGTGTATGATTGCTTTAGTGCGTTACTGTTAATTTGATCGGGAGACGTGTTCGTCGACGTCAACGTCAACCAACAACACTGCAAGAATTGGCCGTGGCACTGCAAGAGGAGTTGGTCAGATTGCCCCAAATCGTGATTGGACGGTTGATTAGGAGCATGCCACAACGAATTGCTGGATGTTTAGGGATTGGTGGAGCAATTACTCATTATTAAGACAAAAATCAAAAACTTCCATTTTCACTTTTGACAGTGTATCTCTTTGCGAGTGAAATGGGGCCATCAGATAAGCCGCCCATATGAAATGTTTATGTTCATGTGTAGGCAATGGGCCTATTATTATCATACACTGGTTACCTCTAATAAAAACAGCAGTGCATTTCCGCAGTTTTGTATTGTTTCTGAATATCCCCTACTTTTTTGAAGAGTATATTATAATTTTATTTCTAAAGCGCTACATTATAGCAATTGTTATTTCTAAGCGCTGAACAGGCATATACGTGCAATATAGATGATTAACATCTACATTCAAGTTAAACCAACTGTGTCTATATATTTTTTAAGTCTTACGTCGAGCTGTATAAACTATATGATTTATTGTCATTAAAACTCCAATGGCTGGTTAACAATGCGTAATTAAAGACTATAATTGGATCTTTGTAGAAATAATCATAGTAATTAAATTAAGTCGTCATACGATTGCACATAATATAAACTACGATATCATAACATTCTTTAATTACAATTCTCAGTATAATTTATTGTGTAACATTGTGATTATAATCAAAACAATAAATCCCGTCCTATAATACAAACAAGACATAGCAAGAAATACCTCCTATTGCGAACAGTTTAATATACCTAGAATTTTCTACACCAACTCGGGGGGTGGGTGGCCGAATGGTTAGCACGCGCGCGCTGTATCATACGGTCTGTCATTGAGTCAAATGGCGGGGTTTCGATTCCCCGGTTGTACGTAGGGTCGCCTTTCAAACCTCGTGGGTTTTCTCTGGGTCCTCCGGTTTCCTCCCACAGCTAAAGACCCCTACGCGCAAACGAAGTATTGAAATAAAATTGAACCATGTGTTAGTCCCGAAATGACCTAGTTTGTGTCAAGTGGACGTTAAACCCCATTTCTCTGTCTCTCTCTCTGTCTCTCTCTCTCTCTCTCTATACCAACTCTATTACATCCAGATATTTAAAGCGTGTTAACAATATATACATTTAAGCGAAACTATGCTATTTCGAGATTAACATATCGTACAATTCATATTGATTTGACGATCGACCTCCTATTTACAAAACTACGAACTACAGTATAAACATGGTTTAGAAACTCTATCTGAACTACAGGGTACGTCATGATTAAGATACTACAGGGTACATCATAATTTAGAGAATATATGAACTACAGGGTACACCGAAGTACAGGGTACTTTATGGTTTAGACACTCTATCCGAACTACAGGGTACATGATTGTTTAGACTCTCTATCCGAACTACATGAAACATCGTGGTTTAGAGAAATTCGACTCCCGGTCCGTCCCTTGTAACATCAAGGCCGATAGTTATTCATTTCACGACAGACACTTGTAATTACCACAGTAGTACATTTTATCACAAGCACGGGACACTAGGGGACCAAGGGTCCCTGACGTTGGCCTCGCGAGGGATTCACACTCTATTGGAGGTCCGGTGGGGTACTCTCCTTGCCTTTATAAAAATGACCATAATAAAAGGTTTTCTGTAATTTGTCCTGATGTTTCTAACTTACTCACAAATTTCGTGTGTGGCAAACCTATTTGAAGTAAGTTTTGAACCCAACATTGAATTCAGTAACCCTAAAAATCCTTATTTTGGTTTCAGTTTTGGTTGTCGTTTTAAATTTACACCATCTGGACCATTCTTAATTAGTTTTTTTTAGATAGAGATTGAACCCAACAATCACCAAACCCATATATAAGACATATACCAAGCCATATCCAACGGAAAAAATGACTGTTAATTCAAATTCCATCTATTTAGATTTCATTTTAGCGGCCATTTTGAATTTCTACCATCAAGAATACTCGGAATTTATTTAAGAGATCAGAGTTGATCCCAACAACCCCAAAACACATATATCAAATATATTACCATATTCGGCAACTTTGGACTAAATTTTGCCGGACATTTTGAATTTCTGCCATCATGGATTCATTTTGAGACCAGTATTGAACCCGGCCACATCGAGAACCGTGTAAATGACATGTTACAAGTAATATCCAACAGGTAAAAATGACGATTAAATTAATATCAGCTGTCAATTTGTGTTGCTGCCATTTTGGATTTTCGAAATTTATCTTTAAATTCGGAGACCGATAACCATATGAAAGACAGCAAAAGTCATATCTTACCAGACTATCGCTGCCCTTCGATTATCATATTTATGGTTTTTTTTTAAAATTCCATTATATTACCAAATTTGGCAGGCATTTTGAAAGAAATATCCGGCGCCATATGAAAAATACATTTTTTTAATTGATGTTTGTCAAATTGAATTTTTCGGCACATTTCGCTCGCATAATCCCTCTGTGTTTGAGGAATTTAAAAATAAATTATTTATTCTGCCACTACTAAAACACTCTTATTACGAGATATGGCTCTTCGAAAATTCCTGAAGACCGCCATATTCAATTATGTTGATTACGTCATTTTGTCTGACATTTATCATTGAACTAAACTGCAATGGTTTCTTTTGCAATTTGTTTAAGGTAAAACGCTATCCCACCCAACATAATAATACTGCAAGAAGTATATAAAGCTGTAAGACGCCATGGTACGTCATGGTTTTTGTGGCGTCATAGTTGGGACCCAAAATTGCGCCTGGAAATGAGTTGTCTTAACTTTCCCTATATAGGGCTTTGGTTACGGTAAGGTCGTAGGGATAAAATGGCAGCATTTTTTAACTCGCGAGTATCGATTTCCTATAGGTCGGTAATACATTTATTTGCACTAAAGTACACGGTTTCAGAGATTTCGTGGATTTTCTGGTCCACTGGCGGCCATCTTGCAATTATGTTAATTATTCAAATTACCCCAAGACCGATAACGGCCGCTTTTGTTATGGGAGTACTAGAGGCCATACCTGAACGGTTCCCAAAGAATTGATTTCTGTTGCAGTATGTTCTAGGTCCCCCGACACATATTGTTATCTCTACCCACCTATTGTTGTGTAGTGACTTATTGTATGCCAGGTTGATTTTCGCTCATGTCGTCATAATGTTCCGGTTCGATGAATTTCGGGAAATGTTACTGAAGAAATGTATTTGGAGAAATATTTTGCAAGATTTGTATTTAGAAATATGTTGTTCCCGTACATTCATTACGAACTGGTTGTTGACAAACGTTAGTTTTGGTCGTTAATATTGAATTTAATGCCGATACGAGTCTCTTATCATCGATAAGGTCACGTGGAACCGAGTTTTTACTAGCGACGCCTGGTGGGAATTCCTTCAGCGAGGACGCCTATTGGACTATCACGGATACATAATTACACACCCAAGTTGACCTGTCAATCACTTTAAACAGAAAGAAATAATACCGTGATTTATTGTTGATATCTCTTACTCTCTTTTATCGACACGTTTTATGTCTATGATGAAATGTAAATGTAGATTATTTTTTTGATTTACTAAAATAAATTTTGTCTTTATATTAAAATAAAATCAAATTAAACAAAAATGCATTTTACAAATCTGATATGACAAATGTCTACTTTTTAAACACAAATAATGATTTTAAGATACAAATGTTAATTTTAGTGTACAAATGTCAAAATACGACAACAAATGAAGAAATAAGAATTAAGGACTATGAACTAAGAATAACGAACACTGAATAAAGAGCTATTTGGTCTTCCATACATACACACCTAGTATATTATTAATAGTATGCATACAGATCGTCTATATTATTAACAATGTTTATTATATGCATACAGACCGTCGATAATATTAACAATGTTTGTGAATACCATATCATTAATAAACACACACAATGTTCATATTAAACATGCATATAGAAGCATGGGTGACTTAGCGGGTAAAAGGCGCTGTTTGGTTAACCCGCAGGTCCCGGGATCGATCAACGAGATTTTCCCCTTGTCAGTACGAGAAAATGGGATCCAATGAACACCATTATATTAGGAATTCAATTGCTGTCCTGGCAAACTCTCCATCAAAGCAGACTGTACGGCGCATGCGCGTCGTCACCAATCCGATTAGATCAGATGGGTTTAATTTGCATATTGTAGTCACTAACCTTCGTATAACAAATCTTTTAGGGCTGGTTTCTGAAACATAGACCAGATACAAATTTCAGTTAATCAATTTGTGTATCGAAAGAGGGCTAAACCGACAGATAAGCCAACATGAAATTTATACGCACAGATAGATCGAAGCATTTAGAGATAATAATATAATGATATATTTAATTCATACATAAAATTATACATACAGAAGTACAGAGAGAGAGAAATGGGGTTTAACGTCCACTCGACACAAACTAGGTCATTCCGGGACTAACACATGGTTCAATAATTCGCTTGCGCGTAGGGGTCTTTAGCAGTGGGAGGAAACCGGAGGACCCGGAGAAACCCCACGAGGTTGGACAGGCGACCCTACTCCTTGTCACGTACAACTGGGGATTCGAAACCACGCCAGTAGACTCAATGACAGACTTTATGATACAGCAACCATTCAGCCATCCAACCCCCCACACAGAAGTACAGATGCGATAATAATAATAATAATTATGATAGTAATACTAATAATAAAATTTACAATAATTTTACAATTATTTACAGTTTCATAAATACGTACATATGTTTAATAAAAATAAATTGGGTTATTTTGTACATAAATACTCAATAATCTCGTTTATTTGTTCTTTATCACAGCCTACATGAGAATGTTTCATAAATAACATGTCATTTATAGCGGCAGCAGTTTACAGGTCATTAACTTGATATGTGTTAATGACGTCATTTCCCATCCTACTTATTGAGATATGGTTTTTTAACATGTTCATATAGATTAGGGGATATGAATATATGGTCATTAAGTGATCTATCATTACCAGTTATTTTACTCTCATAAGTCTGTAAATCCTTAGAGTTTGGATGATCCAACATACATTTCAGATTAGTAAAGTTAGAAAAGTTTTGTTACCGTTCAGTTTGTGGAGATATTCTGGAAAAGTCGGTATTAAAGTCATCACCGATAATTAAATACATGTAGTCGGATTCCGAGTTGGTTATTATTGATAACAAATCGTTTAATGGATCATCAAATTCTCGGCGATTTGTGGAGTCACATGGGATATACACACTACATATTATAATATCAATAGCTGAACCCGACAGCTCAACGGCACAAATACGTTTAAATTCAGTATTAAAGAATAATAACATTAGAGTAATTCAACACAGGGAAGGTGAAAATGGAATAGAAATGTGTGGATGAAAAACGTTTCATCAAATACATGCAATATTGGCAAAGCGAGTTGGGGGTGGGTGGGGAAATTGTTGTACGCTATAGATCATAAGGTCTGTCATTGGATCAAATTTTGTCGTTTCGATTCTCAACTTGTACTTGACAAGGAGTAGGGTCATCTGTCCATCCTCGTCGGTTTTATGAGAGTCCCCGAGTTTATATTAAAAAAGGCGTTCAAATTTTTATATACATAAATGTTCATAATTTTATATAACAAATTGTTCGCAATTTTTATTTAAACAAAATATTCATACTTTTTATATATAAAATAATGTTCATAATTTTCACATAAAAATTGTTCATAATTTTCACACAAAAAAACGGTACAAAAATAAATGATTATAATTTTTGAATTAAAAAATGTTCATTGTTTTTGTATAACAAAATATTTATAATTTTTGTATAACAAAATGTTTATAATTTTTATCTATTAAAAATATTTATACAAATGGTTGATAATTTTTATATAAAAAAAATGAAAATATGATCAAAAATCGTCGCTATTCGACTTGTTGGTATTATGATTTGAAATAATAGTGTGCAATACAAAACTTACCATAACCAAATTTGGATTACCATGATATATTCCCATACACAGGATGATAGTTACCAATACACCCACTAATAAAGAGTATCTAATTCTTCTAGACAACATTTTGTTTAACACAACTGTCGAATACAACCTTGCGATAGACCTACTTCATCCCGTGTTAATTATTATAAAATGTAGGAGAAAACGGATCAACCTGTGAATCTATTTCAACGCGCTCGATTAATTCTTTCCTCGCATAAAGCAAAGTCTATTATATAGGACACGGTTCACCAAATATTTCTGCGCCTTCACCCACGAATACAGGGCGAAAGTTAGTTTTAGTCTTTCTTCTTTTTCCCTCTTTTGCATGGCGATTTTTGTTGACGATTTGGTGTAAATTGGAAGAAAGGGGTTTGAAAATACACTTTCTGCCAGGTTTTGGTGAATATTCATGATTTTGAGGCGGAAGGATACAAGAGTTGAAAGGTTGGTTAGGTTGAAATGTAGGGTCAAAAATTGCATGTTTACTTGTCTCTACTTCCAGCTAGTGTATCTCAAGTTTTTCATGGCGAACCTTATACATGCTTTTGGCCACATGTTTCTCCATTTGTGGCAGAAAGCGTTCTATCCAACGAAAATTTGCGAAAAAGTTTGAGTCTGTCTAAGAGACGGGGAATTAACATTACAGTCAAGGGGACATCATTAGTGATATGTGGCCACTTTTTGTAGCCAATGTGAAGCCCACGGTTCAATTAATGGTCAATTGAGTCAACGACCCCATTGAACAATTCAGTTACTCAAACGCACTATTTTTACTGCGTTTAAATCTGTTATTGCTGGTGCACTATAAATGACATCCCCTGTATGGTGTGTTGTTAATACAAGTAGTAATGTTGAACTGATATTGTGCTTGATATACGAATTTTGTTAGGGGTATAACAATGAAAAATTCCAGTTTATGTTTTTAAAACGCGGGGGTAAGACCTTAATTCGTAACCTGCTGAAGGTGCCATTTTCGATCCCGGCGTTAGCCGATAAAAATCGTCGGAATTTTCCGGCGGGGATTCCCACCTGTCAGTGGCAAGAGACAACATGGTTCGTATGCGGCGAAAGACACGTCCCGTGTTCACATGCATGTGCACGTAAAAGAATGCTGGAGAGGTGGAATTCGAAATAAGTTCCAGTATCCGAGAAAAATTTCACTCACATCACAATGTATTTCGTGTTGCCCGTCTTCATTTGCCAAGTCAGTGCAGATCAATAGGATGTTTAAACAACATTTTATTTCATGTTTAAGGTACTGTATTGTTCAACAGGAATTCTGCGTTTTGACATCAAAAAGTTAGAATTTCTATGTGATCTTATAAGGAAACTTGTTGTTTCAACTGGATAATGCATAATATTGTGGTTTTATATTCATATACACTCACTGCATATAATTCTAGGAATGAAACATAGTTTCACCGTACACTCACTCACCACGTATAATTCTAGGAATGAAACATAGTTTCCACTATACACTCACTCACCATATATAATTCTAGGAATGAAACATAGTTCCCACCATACACTCACTCACCATGTATAATTCTAGAAATGAAACATAGTTTCACCGTACACTCACTCACCACGTATAATTCTAGGAATGAAACATAGTTTCCACTATACACTCACTCACCATATATAATTCTAGGAATGAAACATAGTTTCCACTATACACTCACTCACCATATATAATTCTAGGAATGAAACATAGTTTCACCGTACACTCACTCACCACGTATAATTCTAGGAATGAAACATAGTTTCCACTATACACTCACTCACCATATATAATTCTAGGAATGAAACATAGTTCCCACCATACACTCACTCACCATATATAATTCTAGAAATGAAACATAGTTTCCACTATACACTCACTCATCACGTATAGTTCTAGGAATGAAACATACACTGAAAAAACCCTTGTGTTGGATCTCAACACAAGAACTTGTGTTAAAAATATTTAACACATGTTTGTGTTGTATTGCATTGCAATGACACAAGTTTGTGTTTTTTTCAATGTCTTAACATAAACTTGTGTACATTTATAAAATCTTATGTGTTTTTTTTCCATATAATTAATTACGTCGACATTAAAGATAACATTTATTATGTTCCTTTATCACTAGCCTATATGTAAAACCATGAATATTTTTCCCAATTCACCTGGATTTTATTGTAGGTCTTTGTACGTGAAATAGCTTTATTTAACGTCCGCTTCCACCGAAGTGGTATTGCAGAAAATTAGCAAATTCAGATTCCCTTTTAAAGGAATTAGACTACACTATCGCTGGATTGTATTATATTCAAAATGGCGCCCAGAACACAAAACAAACATTGCAATTCAGGGCGGACTGGTGTCGAGGTTGTATCCTAAGAATGATTTTTTGAATATTTAATCAAACAGAAACACAATTATGCACATGCAGTTATGATATAATATTAAATTAGCTTACCTCAAATACCTCGAAATATACTGTTTGGTCAGTTTGTCCGCCCGCCATATTTCTATTAGTCACACATCCTTCGGCCAATTAAAATGGAGGTATATTTTGTTTTAACCGAAACGAAAAATTTGCGTTATAAATACATTGTATTAAAAAATACCAAAATCACAAACCTGATATTCTTATTTTCTGAACAAACTTTTTCCACAACAATATCACTTTTTTCGATACTAATGCTTAATAATACAGTTAACATTTGCAGTACCACAGGGTTTAATACCGCAAAATTACTTCAATAAATATTTCTTTCTTTGTTTTAAGAGTAATTCATTTTAATTGGTCATTTACAGGTAAGAATACATTTCCAATTTCGATTAATGAACCAATTAAATTAAGCCCTTTTAAAAGAAATGCCCGGCACCACATGGAAAATACATTTCTTTAATTGATGTTTGTCAAATTCGATTTCCGCACATTTCGCGTACATAACCACGATATAATGGTCGAACATTACGTACATCAGATAAACTATTTTTAAAGCCCAAAACTGTTCAACTAGTCTCTTTTAGTTATCAAGCACCTGTTTTATGGGATAATCTACCATTTAGTTTAAGATGTTGTACATCTCTATATTCTTTTAAAAAACAACTTAAATCACATTTATTTAATGAGGCTTTTAACTGACTCTGTATACAATTGTTAACATGTCCATAATCTTGTTGTTTATTTATGATTACATTGTCACTTTGTAAAGTGCCCCTGAACATGTTTTATGAAAGGGCGCGCTATAAATATGCTGTAATAATAATAATAATAATAATATTACCAAATTTGGCGGCCATTATGAAAGAAAGGCCCGGCACCATATAACAAATACTTCTTTTTTTTAATTTGACGTTTGTCAAATTCGATTTTTCGGCACATTTCGCTTTCATAACCACTCTGTGTTTGAGGAATTTAAAAAGAAATCATTTATAATCCAACGAGTAAATAGTAAAACACACTGATTACGAGATATCGCACAAAATTCCCCGATTTTGGGTATGATTTTGTTTGATATATTTATCACTGAACCAAACTGCATTGGTTTCTTTTGCATTTTTTTTTAGGGTAAAACGTTATATTATCCCTCAACGTCTAATACTGCAAGAAAAAAACAAATTTTGGTATGTAAACCTGTATGAAGCCATGACGTCATAGCTTTTATGGCGTCATAATTGGGACCCAAAATGGCGCCTGGAAATGAGTTGTCGTAACTTTCCCACAGTCTACTCACTCATGTGCTCATCGTTGTATACCAACTAACGTTGAAAAAATAAATTTACGTCGATTTTTGAACATTTTAAAAGCCGTAGTTCGATTCGGCGCCCAAGAAAAGATATAAATATACACCAAAAACATGGCAATCAATCAAGTTGAAGCGTTTTGGCGTAAAACATCTGTTTAGGCGAGATGACGTGTTTTTGGTGTACATGAGTAAGCAATAATGCTACCTGACTAAAATACCCCCCCCCCCTGCCTTTTGCATTCGCATGTAGTCATACATATGAGTCTCAAAATAATATAATATATTGTTAAATTATGCTCTTTTCAACACTCGCGCCCCCGCCGCCGCCACCTGCTCAATGAGTTATTTTACTTTTATTCTGCCATCTAAATAACTCTATACCCATGACTGGTGTACCAAGTTAAATCCACATCAAAACCCCATTTGTCGATAAGTGTATTTATAATAATCACTTGAACATCCTTGGAGAATTATATCTATTTAGTGAATATTAATACCAAAGAAAGAAAACAACTCTAAATTCTGGATATAAAGTCATCAAATTCTTTTACAGATCTTATTGTGGAAACCCAAAAGTTATATTGCCTTTTTAATCACATTTTTGTTTTTAATGTCAAATACCAAACCATCTCTAATATTGTTTCATTATATAGAATGCAGTGTAATCCTAAACACTAAAGATTTGGCCTGAAAACTTGAAATAATATAGAGGGATCATCAATAATTAATAGTAACATTCGATAATTGTAAAAATGTATTATTGTAGGATGAAATCAACCTTTATTTTTAAACATTTAGTGAACATTTCGAATGTTAATGCCTCTTTTATATAAAATGGTTTTATTAATTAATCAATTTTTGTTTTACAAATTTTTAATTTTCTCCCTTTTGTTTGATTTTTATGCTATATTTATTTTATCTATTTATAATTATTTGCCTGTGCTTTATCTATTAGTTCCCATTTATATACTGTAGAAAATTTTGAATTCCTAATCTGTTAAAGGGACTATTTTTTCTTAAAAGTATTTCAATTTAGTGCATTATTAATGTCTTTAGTGCTTGGTTTGGTTGATATTAAATTTAGATATATTTAAAATGTATGTTTTGGGACCATGGGGTAGGGATATTGTGGACATATATATTATATTCTCAGTTCTTTTTAAGGTTAATTGTAAAAAAAAATTAAATAGCTTTTTTTGAGGGGTGGGGGGATATTGTTACTATTGAACACAATTTTATTAGTATTGAAATTAACTTTGTTGATTAATATTCCAAATGTCTCGGTGCTTTATTTTTCAATTTAAATAGCTACTTTTTATTTAATAATTGGGAATGGGGGGGGGGGGGGGTGGGGGTATTTTTTCATTGTATAACACAATTTTATTAGTATTGGAATTAACTTTGTTTATTAACCTTCGAGATGTCTGTATTGGTATTAATTAGGCATTAATTTATTTTTTCATATCATTTATTGAATAAAT